AGCCTTAAAATATATAAATACTAAAATAAATATAACGTTCCTACTTCGTGGTTTGTCACCCATCGCGGGGGTGTCTGGAACGTAACCCCCACGATAATCAAGGGACTACCTAATCAGTGCTTTAGATCACATGGGGCACACATTGGAGGCAATGTTCAGCATCTTGTCCAGGGGCACTTCAACATGCGACTGCTGGTGGAATCGAACCCCCAACTGTCCCACTGGATGATGACCGCTCTAACAACTCAGCCACAGCTGTGACGATGGTTTCGTCAGTCCAGTCAGAAACAAACTAAACCTCCAAACTGAGGAGAATAAAAAGCTTTCTACAACAGGTAAGATAATAACTGTTCGAAACATTTACACAGAATGACGTTTTTAAAGATCTGAGCCGTCCCTGAAGTCTACAGCCTAGACTGGATGTAAGTATTTACTCTGACTGTTGTTCTGGCAGATCCTGATCATCCACTCCATGGTGAGTTCCGGTTGCTTCCATCTAGACGCAGGTATCTGCTGCCCAGATGTAGAACGAACAGACTGAAAAACTCATTCATCCCTGTAGAGATCAAACTTCTCAATGAACGCTGATGATTTCTGTTATTTTAATGTTTCAGTGTCTTGTCTAGTATAGATGTTTTCTATCTGCTGACTGAGAAACAAACTGGCCCTCTGGGATAATAAAGATTCTTGAACTTGACAAAGTCGATTTAAAATATATTTTAAAAATACAGGCACTGAGGAAGAGGAAACTCAGAACCAACTTTTAGCTCCGACAAACTGACCACAAGTTGACCCAAACCCACCGAATCTCCTGACCCCACCGTGACCTTCCTCCCACGGCTACACGCAGGAGACTTGAGGAGTCCAGATGTTCGATTTTCTTTACGCGTGAGTCTCCATACATGTAAGGAGGTAAAGCTGTGCCTCTGTGTGTGTGTGTACTGATGGAAAACCTAACCAGTTTTCCTCTGTGTCACCGCACTAAGTGGACCCGTGACGGTTTAAAACGAGCCGACGACGTGAAGGTAACGCACACCAGCAGGAAAAGGCTCAGGACAGAAGTTTTCTTGGGTTCAGCTCTGCAGGACGGCGGAGGAGAACTCTCTCACCTCTGTCCCTGTGGGCGTGTCGGGAGCTATATGAGCCTCGGCTCTCACCTGCGTTTCCATCCCTGCATGAAGCTCACCTGTCAGACGAACACGCCTGAGAACTCAGCTGTCCAGGTGAGAACTTTAACCATTTCTTGATAAATCCTCATTAACGCTCAGCTTGGTGGTAACTTTTGTTTTTAAACTGGTTTTATTGTGTCTTTTTTGTTTAGATTTGACATTTTGGGCTAATTAAGTCTTTGTTTTAACAGTTTATGGTTTGAAACATCCATTTAATAAACGTGTTTTAAATAAAGTTCATTTGATTTTACGACACATTAACCGTCTTTATAAACCAGATTAAACTAATTAAAAAAAAAGTTTCTAGATTGATGTTAAATATTAAAATATTCATAATTAGCTTTAATTTATATCGCTTGTATTTAACTGGTCAAACATGTTATATGTTTATAACATTATATGTCTGATTTTAATTCAAAATGAGTTTTACAGATTTAGGTTTTAATATGCCATCTATTTGATTATTGTACAATCAAACGTTGTAATTTTTAAATAATTTATTGTTTATTTTATAACAAACATCCTGCAACATCCACAAAAAGCCTCTTTGTCATTTTCAGTGTCTTGACTTAAATACAATGCAACATGATGTTATTCCTGTTTAAAAACATTATCGTTTTTTATTGTTGTTATTATTTGCGTCAATAATTGAGTTAATTGAACATAGAAACCTGGCAGGTGTGCACGACAGTAATTCATCGTTAAAGTGTTTAAAAACTACACGCTGAGGGTCCAGTCCAGGTTTCAGCAGCTACAGTCAGTTTTATAATTATCTGCTCAATAAAAGTTGCATCAGTTTGTTTAAAACTTTGATTTTTCTTGTTGACATTTTAAATATTTAGAAATCTGGACGTCTATAAACTTAAAATCTGTTCATGAGGTTTGAAGGTTCATTTTCAGCTTTTATTGTTGGAATTTTGGAGCAACATTAAAGAGTTCTTTCACTACGTTCAGTTTTTTTGATGATTGTGTGATAACATCAGATTGTAGTGATCAGTTCTGACAGCGTGAACTCGAACCCACAGGTGGTCGTTTCCTCGGAGTCTCCGAGTTATCGCCTCAAAAATGTGCCGTTATTATTATGAGGCAAACCTTCATCTGTGGAAATACTAGGATTTTCCCTTCACCGCCAACTAACTCTAAGTTACCCCCCCACACACACACACACACCGATGTACATCAACAAAACTGACTGACCTGTTCAGTTGGTCCTTATTGAGGTCTTGATGGCGTCCTCTGGGTCCCCAAAGCTGGAAAAAAGCTGCTGGAAAAGAGGTCAAAGGTCAGGTTCACCAACTTCCCAGGAAAAAAAAATACGTGTGTGTGTGTCTTTGTTTATGTTACTTTGTAAGGTCCATTTTTCCAACTTATTCAAGGATTCAAGGATTTTATTGTCATTCTCATCACATGTGGTACATGAGGTGGAACAAAACTATGTACATAGGGTCCCAGTTTCATCCAACAAAAACATAAATTGTAAAGAAAAACATAAGCTGAACTAAGAATACAATACATTCACTAAACTAAGAATACACTAAGCACTAATGGCACCAAAACAATGCGCCAAAACAACAGCAGCACGAACTTATACTACATTGTGAGGATCAAATCCCAGTCCTCATAAGAAGAAGTGCTGTTGGTGGGTTAGGGTTAGGGAAAAGGTCAGGGTTAGACTATAGGAATGAATGGAAGTCAATGCAAAGTCCCCATAAAGATAGCAAAACAAACCTGTGTGTGGTGTGTTTCTGTGTGTGTGTGTGTGTGTGTGTGTGTGTGTGTGTGTGTGTGAGTCAGGCAGTACTTGTTGTATACATGGACTTTGTTGGTTAACACTGATTAGTTTACTTTGCTTTGCAGACCATAAAAGGATAGTTCAGATCCATTGATGTAAAGTTCTTAGTAAAGAATATCTTACCTGTTGTAGATAGCTTTGTGACCAGCCTCAGTTCGAAGAAAGAACTCCAATCAGTTCAACTCTGACTGACTTGACAAGCCAATGACTAGTGAGAGCGAGGCCATAACGAAAGGAGATTAGTAGGTAAAGTTTATTTAAATAGCACCTTTAACTTATAAAAATCACAAAGTGCTTCAAAATAAAACATAAAACAATACGATAAAAACAGTACATGTACACAAAACAGTACCTAGACATAAAAGATAGTAAAAATATATAAAAACTAGCATAAACCTGTTAACTAAAAACTTGACTAAAAACATTTTCAGCTGCTTTTTAAAAGCCTCTCGACGCGTCATTAAAAAAACAAGTTCATAACAAAGACGAGGAAAAGAAACGATCCGCTCTGGTTCTGAACCGTCTGTGGAACAACATATAGTTTCTGCTTTGAAGACCTAAAGAGTTCGAGTTTGAAGCTTAGACGTTCAGGTGCCGATGGAGCAGAGCCGTGACAGATACCACCAATATTTAAAAATAAAAAATATCTGATTTAACAGGTAACCAGCGAAGAGACGTTAAAACAGGAGTTGTGAGTTCTTCTGTTGGTTCCAGTCAGTTAAGGACCTTTATGGACCACCTGAGGACAATCACGGCTTCGGTAAAGTAATTAAAGTAATTTATAAAAACAATTCCAGTTTTATGAATTTTACAGTCATTTATTCAAACACAGAGTTAGAAGCCTTCGTCTTTGCATTACAGAATTATTCCAGTGGCAAAACTAGGCGGCACCGTAAATACCAGTACTCAGAACTGAGCATTTTTAGAGTTTATTGAAAATCGTGGTCTTTGAATTTACATTTATTTACACTGAAACAAATCCAGTTTGTTTCTACAGCACGTTTAAAAACGAGTGCTGCACATCAAACAGCGATAAAAGAACGGACGCACAAGATTGGAAACAGTATGAAACAAAAATTACAAAAATAATAAAATAAAAATCAAAAAAAAGGTTTACTCCCACGCAGTAATCAAAGCCAACAAGTACAAATGTGTCTAAACAGAATTCTATGGTTGTTTGCAAACATTTAGAAGCAGCTAGCTGTAGCACTTCCTGCTCAGCCCGGGTCACTTCCTGCAGGAACATTGTAACATTTCTGCAGGATGACTTGTGTAATGAAAAGGCCATGTGAAGGTTAATTAACCAGCGTTAGCATAAAAGGCTATTAAATCCTTTGAGATTTGAGTCATTACTACACGTCAGCAATCTACTTTGGTCTCGGTTTTGCTCCGACTAGCCGTTAGCTCATCAGTCAAGTCAGAATTAAACCATATTTCTCCAAACTGAAGACGTTCAAAGAGCTACCTGAAACAGGTGAGATGTTTACTGTGCATAACTTTTCCTCAAATCCTCACTTCAAATGATCTGAACTATCCCTTTAAATACCATGAAGGTGAGGATGGTATGTGCTGTCATGTCTGCAGCTCCGTGTACATATTCCACGATGGTGTGTGTCCTCAGGTAACTGTGCAGTGAAGCAGATTGAAGCGATAGAGACAGGGATGTTTTAAATCACATCCGCTGAGACTCAACCAGGCGACACCTAGAGAGTCCTGCAGGAGGGGAAACCACCTACGTTCAGCAGCCGGAGAAACGGGGGCGCGGGGGGCTTTAATTTGAGAGGAAAACGTGAGCAGATGACGAAAATCGCACTTTGTCTCAGCCTGGAGAAAAAAAAAAAAGACACTAAATATCACGGTTTGAAGAGGTTGGACCCAGGAACGCAGACCGACTTGAGGAAGGTGAATAAAAACTTAGAAATTAATTAACAAAATAAAAGACTAAAAACAAAACAAAGGCGAACTGGACATGGCATGAAAACACTCAATGCTGGACTGCAGGTGGAGGGAAAACTGAGCGACTATATGGACAGGGGCTGATGAATGGAGTGAAAACACCTGGACAAAATGACAACTGGGAACAGGTGAGAGTGGGCGGGGCAGCTGAGGAAGAAGAAGTGACACAGGAAACAGAAAACAATAAACAACGAAGGAAAACTCTAAATAAACACAAAAAGCTCAAACAGATCCTGATGAACGATTTAGAAAAATTATCTTTAAAAAACAATTTTTATGATAAAACTAGTAGTTTTTTTTTCCCCCAACAGCGTCTCACCTCTCTGTTTGATCCATCCAGATGTTGCCATTCACCCTCTTCCACATCTGCCTGCTGATCTCGCTGCTGCTGCTCCTCTCGCCTCTCGCCTGGAGCTACGATGGCCTCACCCCAGGGTGTCACCCATATCGTGAGTCTGAGCAGAGTTCAAATAAAACTATCTGCAGAAAGAAACTGCATTATTGCAGGAGTCCTGTTCACAGTTTAATCAACAATCAGTGCTTTTAATAATGCCCTTCACAACAAGATAAAGGTCATCGAAGTGCTTCACAGCACAAAGTAAGAACAAACATTAGGAACAATGCAAACGATAACAGTAAATAAATGTTTAGAAAAGGGGATGAAAACACAAAAGTGTTATTAGATATTAAAAGCCTGCTAAAGCTGGTTCCAAAGTCTGGGTGGAGCAACTGAAGAGGTCCAAACTGCTTCAACATAACTGGTTTGAATTAGTGAGGCGTTAACAGGCTTCTGCACAACATGAAGAGGGGATTCAACCATTGAATCAGGTGTGTCAGAGCAGAGAAACACGTAAACCAGGAGGACAGCGGCCCTCCAGGACCAGGATTAGAAACTCCTAGTCTAGTTGGCAAATTTCTGTCACTTGTGTTTGTTACTGGACTGAGTTAAATCTGCATGGAACTAATGTTGGTAACATTTTATCTGCTTCAGTGCCTCTTTCCTGTGGGGTTCCGCAGGGCTCAATTCTTGGACCCCTTCTGTTTTTTCACTGTATCTGCTCCCCTTGCGGGCTAGCCTGAGGAAATATGGTCTTTCTTTTCACTGCTATGCTAATGATTGTCAGATTTATCTGCCCTTAAAACCCAATACCCGTAGTTCTTGCTCCATTCACCCTCTGTTAAAATGTCTTGATGACATTAAGGCATAAATGGCTTCAAATTTTTCAAGTTTTAAAGATCAGAAAATGGAAGTTATTGTGTTTAGCCCTAGTTCTACCACTATCTCTGTTGCTGTAAGCCTTGACTCTCTTGAGCCATATCTCAAACAGTTTGTTACAAATCTCTGGATGGTTTTAGACTCTGATTTTAACTCTGTTCTACAAAAAAAGCTCCTTCCAGTTAAGGCAGATAGCTTGGCTTATGTCAGTATCGACCAGATCTGACCTTGGAAAAAAATAGTCCACGCCTTCATTACAACCTGGCTGCACTACTGTAACATACTTTATGTTGGGGTCAGTCAGGTGTCCCTTTCACATCTCCAACTCATCCAAAATGCTGCAGCTCGGCTATTAACAGGAACTTATAGGTTTGATCATATTTCACCAGTTTTGTCCTCCCTTCACTGGCTCCCTGTATGTAACAGCATTGATTAAAAAATTTATCCTGTTGACCTTTAAGTGCCTAAATGTACGTATAAATAGCCTTGCACCTTCATATCTCTCTGACCAACTTCAACCATATGTTCCTTCTCGGGTGATGAAATCATCGGATCAGCTGCTTTTGGTTGTATCAAAAACCAGGCTGAAGCTCAGAGGAGATCGAGCTTTTTCAGTTGTGGGCCCCAAACTTTGGAACAATGTGCCCCTCAATATTAGACAGGCCACTTCACTTCCTGTGTTTAAATCTTTTTTAAAAAACAAATCTGTTCTCTCTGGCTTCTAACACAGTGTGATTTGATTTAGTATGTTATTGTTGTTTTTCATTTGATGTTCTTAATTAATTTTTTGTGTATTTTTTTCATTAAATTACTGCCATTCATTTTTATTAAGCACTTTGGTAACAGCTGCTATTTTTAAATGCGCTTTATAAATAAATTTGACTTGAAATGGAACTTCAAACCTGTTCATAGTATGAATGCAGTCATACAAAACTTACACCTGGGTATTTGTAAAAAATATTAACTGAAACATCTAAATTCCTTATTTTTTACAACAAATGAAACATTATAAATGTCTTTCTTTGCATAAATAAATAAGTCCAGGGTGGAAAACTTCTATAATGAGCCAAGTCGTAAACTTACGTGCACCTCCCCCTGTCTTGCAGCCTTCAACGTGACCATCCGCAGTGACCGGCGAGGCACCTGTAAAGGCACCCATCAGGTGTACGCTTGCGTGGGTTACTGCGAGTCCAGCGCCTTCCCATCCAGATACTCGGTCCTGGTGGCCTCCAACTTCACGCACAACATCACCTCCGCATCACGATGCTGCACCATCAGCAAGGACGCCAAGGTGGGAGGCAAACGAACGAAAGAGGAAACTGCCTCCTCTGTGTTTTTAGACAACTTGTTCAAACCCTGTGGGTCGTCTGTTTCCTTCAGGTCAAAGTTCGTCTGGATTGCCCTCGAGGTCGTCATCACGACGAAATAGAGATCCTGACAGCGAAGGCGTGTCGCTGCGACATGTGCCGCAAATCCCGCTACTAACGTTTCGTGACAGAACGCCTCAAGGCAAAGACTCATCTTTTGTTCCAAAAGACTAATCAAACCGACCAAGTAGACTTTAGTTCTTTAGTTAATTAGTTTCTTTGGACAGCCATGACCCGCCAATTCTGTTTTCTCTGAGAACTATGATTGACAGAAGGTCAAATTTATATATTTAGACAAATATTTGGGGGGCTGGGGTAGCTCGGTGCACAGGGCTGTAGTCTCGTAATCCTGAGGCTGCAGGTTTGAGCTCAGGTTACACAGGAAGGGCGTCTGGCAGCGTGTGATGTAATGATACGCCTAAGCCACGATTCGGTAGCGACCTCATTACGAGAGCCACAATTCAGCATAACAGGAAAGAGAAACAAATGCTAAATACAACACAACTTAAAAAGAAAAATCTCCAGCGGCAGAGACAAAAAAAATCCAAATCACTCTTGGTTGGGAAGCTCTAAGGATTTGTCAGCGCATAACCAAAATATAACATAAAAACGTTAAATGTTACTGTCTTTTCCATCCAATCTGAACCGTAAACAGCAACTCACTGGCCAAGCATCAAACAAAAATGAGTTTTATCTTAAAAACAATATAAATAAAACAAAAAATATAACAGTTTGTTTCAAGTATTTTGACTGTAACTTGAAAAATAAAAAGCAACACAGAACTAAAGAGCTCCATCCATCCATCCTCTTTCACTTGTTCCGAAGTCGGGTCACTGGGGGCAGCTTGAGCAGGGGTGCCCAGTCATCTCTTTCCACATCCACCTCTTCCAGCTCTTCTAGGAGAAACCCAAGGCGTTCCCAGGCCAACCGAGAGACATAGTCTCTCCAGTGTGTCCTGGGTCTTCCCCAGGGACTCCTCCCAGTTGGACATGCCCGAAGCACCTCCCTAGGGAGGAGCACAGGAAGCATCCTTACCAGATGCCCAAACCACCTCAACTGGCTCCTTTCGATGTGGAGGAGCAGCAGTTCTATGCTGAATCTCTCCTGGACAACTTCTCGCCCTATCTCAGAATGCTTTATTGTCCTTGCACAGTGAAGTACAACAAAATTACTTTCTGTACAGCAGTCCTAAAGATGGACAGGGGGCTGCAGCTTCTAAGATGCACTGCCCCTGTTGCTTAGATAAGAAAAGGGGAAGAAAACATGCCAGTGCAGGTAATGAGTTTTAGGGAAGGTCATAGCACAGCACAGACCAGAGCACACACCCCCCAGCCATAGTCCTGATAAGAGGTGTTTGTTTATCAGCCAGCTCGGTTGAGTTCTGTCACAAGTCCACGAACTTGGGAAAGGGAGGGGGTGAGGAGGGGGACAGAGCTTCTTTGTTTCCATAACATCCAAGAATTCGGAAGGTATGCAAAAAAGGGGGTTCTGTAATAGGTACACAAGACAAAAGAGCAAAAGGAGAGAGGTATAAAAAAAGATCTCTCACACCGTATCCTTGACAGGGCACGGTTTGAGGCATCAAAAAAAAAAATCTACCACAGCAAAGCAATATAAATAGACATAATACATGACTGTCCGTGTTTGTCGAGAGCGAGAGAGGAAAAGAAATTCTCCAAGGGAGAGTCCAGCTACCCTGCGGAGGAAACTCATTTCAACCGCCTGTATCCACGATCTCATTCTTTCGGTCACTACCCAGAACTCGTGACCATAGGTGAGGGTAGGAACATAGACCGACCGGTAAACAGAGAGCTTTGCCTTACTCAGCTCCATCTTCACCAAAACGGGCCGGCACAGAGTCCGCAATACTGCAGACACTGCACCAATCCATCTGTCAATCTCGCGCTCCATTCTTCCCTCACCCGTGAACAAAACCCAGAGATACTTGAACTCCTTCACTTGAGGCAGAACCTCACTCTTGACCCAAAGAGACCAATCCGCCCTTTTCCGACCGAGGACCATGGCCTCAGATTTGGAGATAAAACGCGTATGAACATTTTCAACAAATACGTGCTTGTCTGGAAAGACAGAAGATATTGATTTATAAATGACTTGCCACAGTATTTTTCAAAGCGCTGATTACATAACACAACTGCCTGCCGTACCTGCACCGCTGCAGGTAACTCCAACCAACGTTAGGAGCAGCTCTAATTTTTCAGATTAAAAGCAGGGTTGACAAAAATCCAGACGCTCTTCGCTAAATAAACTGGACCAAAAGATCTCAAAACAATTAAATTTAGATCCGGATACATTTGTGGTAGTTTATTTTTATTTAATAAAGAATGTGAGTGTGATCTTGTTGTGTTGTTTTTCTGAGATGTTTGAGTGTAAAAAACTTGATGGATCAGATTTAAATGAAAGGCTGTAAATACCATTCTGTCACACCACAAACACTGATGAGTCATTACAGTCTGAGGTTATTTAGAGTGATCTGTACAGAAAGATAATAGTTTAGTCATTTGTTTTTTCACTGATGCGTTAGACAAAAATATTCCATCATTTTTTAAACAAAAATAAAGGTCAAATGTTCAAGAAGTTTAATTTTTTGCAAATAACCACTATTCACAAACAGAAGACCAAAAGAATGTACAAAAACATATTTAACGTTGTGAATTTGAACATTTTGTAAATAATTTCTGACGCTCAAAGCAAAGATTGTTGGGAATGTCCTTTAAATTAAAATTCAAATAATGCACTGTACACTTTGTGATAAAGTTTTGTGTCAATAAATATTCGTTTTGCACCGTTAATTCAGTGGATTTGTTATTTTTTTACATATCGACTTTAATATTTCTCACTGGTAACTTTCATGGCTTCTGAAAATGAAAGGGAACAAGTTTCTGCAAAGAGAGAGAAAAAACAGACATATGGATTATTTTTAGTTTATAAATTATACACATGAATACCTCTACAGTAGGTTCAGTTTAACACGATCGACATGAACAGTGTCTCACACCCAACAAAGTCTTGTCAGTCCTTAATCTGCCTGAGAACGTTTGGCATCTGTCACACCGGACTTGTCACGGGATTATTAATCTGTCTGTGTAAATAATAGGTGGATTTCCCCGACACTTTGTAATCTCTGACAACTTCTTGCTTCCACGTCAACGGTACAAATCAGCTCTTGTTTCTGCTGTGGGCCTAAAAGTCAATCACATGGTGACATCACCACTATCCTCGCAGGTGAGAGTTATCTCGCCGTGGGGAGAACAGTTTATAGCTCACTTTCTAACATTTTGTCTGATAATACGTGTCAGTGGGAGGGGGGAGATGGGGGGAAGGGGGTGTCACACTAACCTGGCCAGTCGCGTGAGAATCCCCGGCCTCGTAGGCGTCCTTTCCCCCTCAGGTTCCTTACGTATCACCTCAGGCTGCAGAAGAAATCTCAGTCACAGTAAAGCTAAAGAAGCCACTATGTAATGCAGGTACAGCTAAAAATATATAACATCATACCTGTAACTTAACCCTAAACATGATGACTAATGGTATTGTTGCATTGTAAGGCCCGGTCCGGCCCAAGTCTTCCCAAGTGCTGCACAGACTTGGTTGTTTTTGCATATACAGTAGTCCATCGCTACTTCTCAGTTCGACTGTCGCGGACTCGCTCTTTCGCTGTTTTTCAAAGTAAGATTGGACATGATGCACAACTGGCTGATTGATGGATGAGCTGCACGAATGGCATGGATTGTTTATTTAAAATGAATAATTTAAAATTATTTAGCACCTGCTAAATATGCAGGGAGAAGCTCCTTCCTGCTGTGTCATGATCTCCGCTCTCTGCCACGCCTACATTTCTCCTCCGTGCTGCAGCAGCTTCATGAAGGGTTAACCCTTTGATGTCCTGCTGCGCTTCTCTTCTCTACAATTTAAATACTGTAATATTTTAAATAAACAATCCATAAAATGAA